AAAAAAATTGCCATGGTTACTACCTTTTCTCAGGATAAAAAAAGAATGTTTAAATTGACTATTTGCTTTCGTTGATTACTTCAAAACAATGTTTACAAAGTTGCTTAACTTCCTTGTAATGAACATCTTTCCTTAAGTGCTTCAGCGTGTTTTCAAATTGCAGGGACGTATACCTGGTGGGGCTCTGAAGCCAATTGATGTTGATGCTGACACAGCGTTTGATGTAACTGAGCATTATTGGTTCCCAATGCTGGCTGGTTTGTCTGATTTGACATCAGATTCAAGACCAGAGGTTAGGAGTTGTGCACTTGAAGTTTTGTTTGATTTGCTGAATGAAAGAGGTAGCAAGTTCTCAACACCATTTTGGGAGAGCATTTTCCATCGTGTATTGTTTCCCATATTTGATCATGTGAGACATGCTGGAAAGGAAAGCTTAATTTCTTCTGGAGATGAGTCGCTTCGTGAAAGCAGCATTCATTCGCTTCAGTTGCTGTGCAACCTTTTCAACACTTTTTACAAGGTATACGAGTTTAATAATGTGATTTTCTTTTCCTTTTCTTTTAAATCCTCTAACTAATTTCTCATGATTTGAAATGAGGGGGGGGGGGGGGGGGGGGTTTGGATTAGATTGTGACAGGAAACAGAATATCATCTAAATTCTAAATGGTCCATATTATCATGTGTTTGCACCAAGTTTCCTGACAATTATTGGTCTTCACGCAGGAGGTGTGCTTTATGCTGCCACCGCTCTTGAGTTTGCTGTTGGACTGTGCTAAAAAGACAGATCAGACAGTGGTTTCAATTTCTCTTGGTGCATTGGTGCATCTGATAGATGTTGGAGGACACCAGTTCAGTGAGAGTGACTGGGATATGTTGTTGAAGAGCATAAGGTTTGTATCCTTTTCAATTTTTTGAGAGTCAGAATTAAGAGAATTTGTAGTTGTAAGTCATGTATTTGTTTACTTTATTCTGATCACCAGAGATGCATCATATACAACACAACCACTTGAGCTACTCAATACGTTGGGACTAGAGAATCCAAAGAACCCCTCAATTTTAATTAGAGATTTAGAGGTTCAAACAGGTGGTGAAGGCTATCAGTTTGATGCTAGTGATAATGGGAAGATTTCACCGCTTGCATCCCCAAGTGCTGGTAGTGATAGCAGAACTAGGAATTCTAATGCATCTCTTTCACAATATCACAATCAAGAATCTGGGTTACAATCTAATCCAGATGGATCTGAAGGTTAGATGTTGTGATTTTTTTTTACCTAGCTATTTGCTTAAACTTTATCCAATTGGTAAGCTGTATGTTCATTAGTTAATATCATTCATATATCAGAATCAGTTTGCAGAAAAATGTGCCAAACTGTTTACAAAGTTTAATTCTCCTCTGATATTATTCTGAAGTTGTGTTTTCCTTCATACTATCAGTGAAGGGGCTGACCCTATTCTACGGTTTGAAAGAGCTCAATTCAGACATTCGAAATGTGTGTCCATTAGTAAACCTTAAGAATGTATACATCTTTATTCTTGTAGGTGTTCCCTCACCATCAGGTAGATCTCAGAAATCTGCTGAAGCTGGGAGTCTCCAACGAAGCCAGACAATAGGCCAAAGAATTATGGGGAATATGATGGACAACCTATTTCTCAGAAGTCTTACGTCAAAATCAAAGAGCCGTACATCAGAGATTTCAGTTCCATCTTCACCACCCAAGGTAAGCAATTCATTTCTGGTTGTCTCATAGGTGGTTAGCAATTCTTTTCTCTGGGTGTTTGATGTTCCCATATCTTTGGTGGATCAATCACGGGATAAGTTCTATTTATGGGTTTTTATTCATACCTTACATTCTTTCATGGCTTTTTTCTTTTCATACCTTATAGAAGACAATTTAGAAGTTCTTGTTCTTGATGGTCACAGTTATTACTCTCGACTGCTATTAAACATTTTCTTATTGGGGTGGAGGAGTGCATCTAAATGCCTTTTTAATTCTTTATTGCACTCGCTCTGTGTGTGTGTGTGTTTGTTGCACTCAGTTTATTTTATGTTTAAATATTTACTTACAAGAAGCAAGTTTTATCATTTCAAACCCACCAACGTTTTTTATTTGAGGATCAGATAAAAAAATGGCAGAGATGCTTGTCAAAAAATAAAAATGGTGGATATGCCTCATCCTTATTTATGGATGTAATGTGTTATTGACACGACATGCATTTTCTTCACTATTCTTTTTTACTTCTCTCACTTATTTGATCTGATACTTTAGCTTCCTGAGGCTGTTGAGCCAGAAGCCAAAGATGAGGAGGAAAGTCCACTGATGGCAACTGTTAGGGCCAAGTGCATCACTCAATTATTACTTCTTGGTGCTATTGATAGCATTCAGGTTTGCATCTTCGGACCTTGGGTCATGTGGTATACTGCTGCAATTTTATCACCAACTAAAATGTGTCTGAATTGGCAGAAAAAATACTGGGATAATTTGAAAGCAGCACAGAAGGTTGCCATAATGGACATTTTGTTATCTTTGTTAGAGTTTGCTGCTTCATATAATTCTTATTCTAATCTCAGAACACGTATGCACCATATTCCTGCTGAAAGGTGAGAAGAATCTGTTATACTAATTTCAATTTTTATCATCATCTTGTTTGTTTTGTTTGCTGCGCTGTTTTCATTTACTCTTGAGTTGCAAGAAGCTTGCCTACTAATAACTTCATATCTTGGCAGGCCCCCTTTAAATCTGATTCGCCAGGAGTTGGCAGGAACTTCAATTTATCTGGATATCTTGCAGAAAACAACTTCAGGATTTAATGACAAAAATGGGCAACATCTAGAGCCTAATGGTTCTCAGGACACTGATATTTCTGCAGACAACAATGGTTCAAGATTGGCTGAACATTCTTTTACAGAAATGAAACTGGAAGGAATAGCAGAAGAAAAATTGGTATCTTTCTGTGAACAGGTACTCAGGGATGCATCTGACCTCCAGTCTACAATAGGAGAAACTAGTAATGTGGATATTCATCGAGTTTTGGAGTTGCGCTCTCCAATCATCGTTAAGGTATACAGTTTCTTTTCTCTCTCTCTCTCTCTCTCTCTCTTAAAAAAGTTGAAAGTAAACATGATGTGAAAATGAGTAGTTGCTTATTAGTTAAATATTATGTGTCAACTATGCCTTGTCTATGTAGCAATCTAGGCTTTTGCTAAAATTATATTAGTGCAAGATAAAGGAAAGTCATGACTGGCTCGATAGTGCGTTTGATTGCACACATTTACTGAGAACAAGAGTGCAGCTCAGTTCTTTTCTTTTTCTTTTCCCCACTTATATCAGGCCTGCCCTTTTTTTCTTCTTGCTGTCTCTGCTGGGTATGGGTTGAACTATTATTGCTTTGATTCATGAAGTGAATACCTCCTCACTGCCATTCTTTCAGTTGTCACATTATGTCATAAAATTGTTTCTAATGATCAGGTAGATTGCTTTAAGTTTTATTTCTAATGGCGGTCACCTCATTCTTGGGAGTGGCAGTGAATGTCAACTTGATTATTTGCTCTTGTGACTTCTATTAGTTGCAATGCTAATAGAGAATTTGGTTTGTTTTGCGCTTGCAGGTGCTTAAAGGCATGTGCTTCATGAACAATGTGATATTCAGAAAACACCTTAGGGAGTTCTATCCTTTGCTTACAAAACTTGTTTGCTGTGACCAGGTAAATCTCCCTTTCTCTTTGCCTGTACCTTAGATCTCGTTTTAGATTTCTAATTGCAAGTTTGTATGTAATACAAGAATAGTTTTCAGTTTTGAGGCATTTTCTGTCTCATTAAGATTGCTGCCATCACTGCTGCTCCTGCAGAGTTGGCACAATTTTTGTATTGCCCAATCACCACAATTATCAAGCATCCGACATAAAACCATATGGCAATACATGGAAAAGCCCAACATGATACAGGCTTCAACTAGCTCTAAACTTAAGCAATGCTTTATAACATCCCATAATACTCTCTCATATGTCACATACAAACAATTAATGGGTAACAAACAACTTGGACTTGGATACCGTCATTACCTTGTCATTTTTCTTTTAAATTTACTTTTCAGCGTGTTTTATTATTTTGTTGATATGGCTCTTAAAATGTGGTGACAAAAACCCTTATACCACGAATTTTGCATCCCGAAAAGCACCATCATGCTCTGGGCATTTATATTTGTGGCACTATCCCTTGCTAAAAAGTTTATTTTGACTTGGTGTAATTGATGAATATATTGCTCTGCAATCACTCTTCAAAATTGTATTCTAGGAGCAGATTTAACTAAATGTTGCAAGCGATTCTTTGCTAGTCTTGGCTAGATGTGGTCAAACATGTAAATAAAAAAAAATAAAATTTCTCAGCATGTCGTGTACCATTTGGTGAGACTGAAGCCTCTTCCATGTTTAGGCCATTCTCGCATGTAAAGCAGATAATCCACATAGCGACATTTTCATTCTTTAAATCTGTTGATAACGAATTGTATCTTTTATTTCTTCAGATGGATGTCCGTGGAGCACTTGGTGATCTTTTTAGGGCACAATTGAAAGCTCTCCTACCATGAGAGTTATAATGGCTATTTTGTTTGAGCTGCTTTCGAGGAATGATTTTCAGCGTTGCTGCACATTCCGTAACGTATCAATGTTATCCTAGTGAAAGAAAAAAAAAAAATAGATGGTTGAAAATTGAAATATTTTCCTGTAATCTTCCATTCTTTTTTCCCCAGTAGTATAGAATTAATAGAGGGAGTTGTTTTCGGATACGATCCCTGATTTTTATACCAGAGTTGCGAATAGAAAACCATCTTTGTATCAAAATTTTTTTGTGTTAAAAAGGAGAAATATCAATATTAATTTTCCCACAGTATCCGAAAGTTAGGCTCGTAGGGTTGGCGGATCGGTAGAAAAATATTGATAAAACTGGGAACTGGTGTCAGTCGGTAGACAATTTTCGTAAATCCTTCGTGACCGTGCATTCAAGTTCATCCAAGAAAATTTCCATTGACGGCCACTACTACTGTACAATTTGATCCTTGCTGGTTCTACTCGGACCAAGCAATATACACATTACTGGCAGGTAACACGGATACAGCTGGTGTGTTCAAGAATTCCCTGCTTTAGAAGTCTAAGCATGAGATTTTACAATCTGTTTCCCATAACCTTTTACGAGTTGGGTGGTGAGGTAAGGGAGTTCCTATCATCCAATAGGAAGAGAAAGCGAAATCTTGAATCAAAAGGTAGGACACAGAAGCTTCGAGCGCCAAGGAGCCTCCACTTATTACGCGATAAACAATCTCTAACCATGGAGGCTTGCTGTGCTGATAAGAATTTACAAATCCAATCGGGTAACAGTGAGTCTTCAATAACTCCTTTGGCAAAAGAATGCAACAATTTAGGCACCAATAGTTTCCCTTTGTTACTTATACCAACAGATGCCTGAATGTAATCTTTCAGTGACCTTTTTAGCAACTCATTCACATTTCCAGGCTTGAAAATCCTCACCTGATTACAAAATGAGGACAATAGAAACACTCAATAAAACTGGAAACCAATCATATTGATTAGAAATTTCATAATAGATTGGTAGATAAACTGCTTGCACAAAAAACAAACAAACCAAAACTTTCCAGCAAAGTCAACTAATCAATTATTTCTCAATTTCCATCAATATTAGTGGATTCCTATGACTTTGTAGTGAAAAGATATTCAAAATACTGGAAGGGGGAATGAGAAGCAAATGAGATCTTACCGCGGGCGAAGAATGCAACCCACAACTTAAAGCAAAATATAGAAGAGGCTCAGGATGATCAATTGAATATTTCTGCTGCTCATCAGATGCCTTGAATTTATGAAGTGCAAGAAATCCAGCCTAGCATGATTACAATGAGAAGGTATTTATGTCATAGAATATTATCAATGAAAAATCAAATCCAAAAAAGTGAAGAAGAAAATACCTCCTTGAAAATGAAATGAGATATGGAAAAAATGGATTTCCTCTTTGGAGTTAAAAAAGAAGAAGAGGGAAATAGAAAGTAGGACTACATCCCAAAAAACTTAAAAAATCGATCAAAGAAGCCCTGGAAAGTCCATACAGAGCATCCTTTACGAAGCTAGTTTACCATCCTTCCAGAGATGTGATATGTTTAGGTAATGGTATAGGCACCTTTTTTTTGTTTTGCATAACATCCTATATGGTACATTTCCAGTCAAATTTTGGATAAAGGATTTAAGGTGTCTCAGCTCAGTTATATTACATCATCATCATCTTTTGCAAGGGGCTGGTCACTGCACATAAATGGAGAAGTTATACATACAATTTGTGGACGATAAGCAGCAGGATTCATCTTTAAAATGGTGCATTCTATGTCAGCTGCACTCACTGAAAGTCCTCCAACAATATAGGCAGCCTGCATGTCATCATGCCATGCTGTTAGCAATTGTTCAAAGCAGGATACATTGGGGAGGAAGGGGGGAGTGTGGAGGGATAACAGAAAAAATGACAGCAACAAACCTTCTGCATCAAGGAAAATAGTTTGATATCGTTTCTTGGAACTCCATATGCTAAATATGCCTGATAAAATAGAGATAAAAGAGATAAAAATCAGAGATATTATTTAATTAAAGCATAGGAAGTAATATCTATTGATCTAGATGGCATGTAAAATGTGCAGGATGGTCAGAAACCAAGGTCTGAGACCGTGTGTGCAATTCTTCCAGCCAAGACTCCCCATATTTTGAAAGAATTCCTAACTTATCGTAGCTTAGTGTGTGCCTATATATTGTCTGTATGTTTGTGTGAGACAGAGTGAGAGTAAATTGCATAGATGGGAAATGAGTAGAAGGTATTACATGCATAATCAAAGCATTATACAAGTTAACCCAAAATGCCAGCTTCTCACTGCAACTCATTTGAGATGGATTCACTCTGGCCAACTGCTCAACAAGTAATCTGTAGGCAAACAGAGAGGAAGAATAAAAGCAACAACTCGTCAGGCTCATAGCATAAAGCCTTTCTACTTAAGGCTTTATGATAAGATAGCTCCAAGAATTCCACTTCCCTACTCTAGAGCAGAGTGCTAGGAGCCAATGAAATGAAGATATAAAAAAAAAGCGACTTAAAAAGGAAGTTAAATAGTTGACCTGAATCTTTCTAGACCCATAGCAGCATATTCAAGTTCTTTCTTCCCAACAGACAACCATGAGACTTCAACTGCTGCGCTGTAGGCCCCAATACAACTTGTCCAGTCCACTTTGCCAGAGACTCCATATGGATCATATGCACCACCTCCGGAGGGACTTTTTACTAAGGAAGTTGCAATGGATGAGTCTGAGAAAGATTCCAAAAAGTTGGCAAGGTGGCAATGAGGTGAAGCTTGTGACACCAAATACTGGGAAGAAGAAAGCTTGGATGAATCTGCTAAGAAGATGAAAATATCTCTCATACGCAGGACCATTTCTTCAGCTAGCTGATTGGGATGATGCCAAAGGTTCTCCACAAAATGATCTTTGTCGAGAACAGCCTGCGGTAGAGGCATATCATCCATATTTGCTTCTGCTTCCTCTTCATTACAATGTCTTGCAATCTGAAACATAAAATAGACTGTTAATCAATTTTTCTTTACCTCTGCAGGATAAGATAAAAAACTGACTAGAGGAATGTACAGCAGATGTAATATTCTAAAAAAATTGACATCAAGAAGCCCAAGAGTAAATACGACATGATAACCAATTCTAACTATTTAAAAGCCACAGCCCACAGGATCACCAGCACAACACTCTGAAGATATAGCTGAACGTACTGGTTCTGTTAAGTAAGCCAGAGAGCTATCAAAAACAGATGGTGCGGCACATGGCAAATGTTTAAAACGGTACTCAGCGAGACGTCGCTCATTCCTCTCCTGACTAAGCTGATATTGTAAAGAAACAAATTCTTGCTCAAGCTTTGATACTGTAATCTCTAGAACAGCTATGCTATCTAAAAGCTCCTGGACCTGAAATCCAAATTTAGGAGATTGAGAAAAGAATATAAATATAAATGAGCAACCATGCACAGGGAACTGACCTTATCTGGAAGCTTGCTGGGAGAATTAGGAGAAGGTGAACCACAGTGTTCGACTGCACTTGCTAGAGCTAAGTGCAAATCAGTCTCTTCCTGCAACTGCTGCTGCAACTTTTTAACCTGTATTATCCAAGTGGTAGCATGTGGCATGAGCATGAGATATCAATCCTGCACAGAGTTGGCAGTTACAGGCCCCCTAAGAAAAATATTCAAAACTTGAATATCATGGCACTTCAATAATCATTTATTAGCACAATCGTTACTCCCTCTCTCTCTTAAAGGAGTAAAGAGCATCATCTTAGTAACAAAACTCTCTTAATCACATCCATGTTAATCATGTTTCATTTTTCTCCCCTCAGTCAAGTCTACTGCAATTCCAATGCTCCTTTGCTTCCTTGCTGAATAAATCCAAATAAAGCTTCAATAAGCTTAAGATTTATCTTGATGAGGAGTGTGGTGATGTAGACCAAAAAGAAAGTTCAATGGATTAAGGCACGACTATCTTGGCTCGGGTTTTGTTAAAAAGGGAGAAGCATGGAAAATGCTCCAGCATTCACTAATCATTGCCTATCCCTCGTCTCATGTTACTATAATTTGCAGTTCATACTTTTAATCGTCCGGCCTGGTACACTTCTATAGAAATATTCAGACTCGTGCGAGCTCAAGAAATCAGAAATGTCCGGGAAAAAAAAGGAACTTTAAACAGTGGCAGGAGTTTTATGTAGCAGAGAACCAAACATGGCATTAACTTGGACGAACTAAAAAGCCACATGACCTTAATCCAAAGCTTTACATGCAATCTCCAACAAATTTTTTTCGGACAGAAACAGTAGAAAAAAACAATCTAGAGAAATAAATCGATACGTCACTTGCAAAAGTAAAGGAAATATGCAGAGACATGGAATCCACGTACATCTTGTTCAAGCTGGTACTTATAATGGCACATCTGCTGACTTTTCTCTTGTCCACTCCTTTCCTGGGGCTTAGTATCCTGGTAACAACATGATTTCAAAATCTAAAAATCTTTAACAAGGCCAAATACATACACCATAATAAGTCCTTGCTTGCATAATAAATAAAAACTCCCCAGATAATATTTTGCATTATGAAATTTATAACCATACAATTGGAAGTAGAGAATTGGCTTTGCAAATTACCTGCAACTCAGAACAAGAGGTACAAGGGTCGTCACCAGCTGAAAATGACCTGCTCCAAACCTTGCCACTTTTCCATTGCAAATATCTATTAATAGAGCTTGCCCTGCAAAACCATCCAGCACACAACAATTATCATTACAAAAACGGGGAAAAAAAAGCATAAGCAGAATAAAAGGAAAAAGACCCACCAGTTGATTGGTAAAATAAAACCCCCATTATTACCACCATTGCAATTTTCATTCCCATTGCTGCTGTTATTAATAGGACTTTGAGGATGGTGGTCTTCATCCAAAGCTTCTGCCTTTAGACAAAGCATCTCCAAAGAGAAACAAATGAACACCAGAGCCAGATGCAAGCAAAGCAATTAATTTTGGCTGAAGTCCACCATCATGTCTTCTTCTTGCACTGCTGACATATGGGAATCTAATAACTCCACTCCACAAATAAAGCCTACCCTTTTACAAAAAAAAGCAAAAAAAAAAATCAGCAAGGAATTATTTTCAAGTTCAAGAATAAACGAAAGGGGACAAGCTACAAAGAGAAAGTGGGGCAGATGGGGGGATTTTGGGCTGTAATATAAGAGTCTAGAGTGGAGGAGTACTAATAGGAGGGCTGAAAGTGACCCCAGTTCCACAGTTGATGCTAATGTGGATCTATCATATGTCTCTCTCTCCTTTTCGAGCAGGAGTCTTCATTCACCGACAATACTCACATGCCTTTTCCTCTTTTCAGTTGTTTTTATGGTTTGTTTTTTTCTGTTTCCTTTCACTTTTTAGTTCTTAACGATGTCGTTTCTTGAGATATAGGATTGGCGTTTGCCTGCATGCGTTGTCAGAAAGATTTTGGGGGGGGATTTTTTATTTACTCTTATTTTTTTAACTTAAAGAAGTCACTCGTAACAGTTTAACCTGAACTTGTGCATTTCCACATTTTTTTTCTACTAAATTTTAACACATTATTTTGTACGTGTTACTAAAATTAGTCGCTTATAACATTCGTTAATTCCGTAATCACCTTGTGGATTTTAAAATGAAATATTCATTTTATATATTAATGGACTTGAAATGAATTAGAATGAAATCGAAATATTTGAGAATGACTTACATGCTTAATTATTTTATTTATAAATATTTTTAAATTTATTTAATAATAAAAAAATATAAATTTAAAATAAGGATGGAGAAGAAAGTAGCATAACTCTAGGGCTACAAATTATTTATCACACTCTATATTTTCCATTTTGGGAAAAAAAAAGAACTCAAATGGATCCAATTTGAATGGCCCAAAACTGGGCCAGTTGGTCTTGGTCATGCAACTGATCAGCCCAAACCCAAAGCTAAGATCCATTTCAGGCCTGAGGCCAATATATGAGCAGCTTAAGTAGAACAAGAGTCTGGGCCAGGTCTTTTCTTTGGAGTCGGAGCGAATTACGTCAAGGATTAATTGATGAAAAACTCCCCGTTGTCAGGAATTTTATAGGGAAATCTTCCGAAGCGAATAGAAAAGGAATATTAAACCAGTTGTTAACAAAAGCTGAATGATCAGAAAGCTTCTTTCCATGAATGATGAAACTTTATAGACCAGACAAAGATTCTAGTTGGAAAGTATGCATACGTTCCTTCTATGAGGGTTTTGCCGTTTGGCTTCATTGAGTAGCTACACGTAATGAACTCCAACATTTCACTCTATGCTCTTCTTAATTTAATAATCTCTGGCATATTAAAACAAGGGTTTTTGATGATTCAACTTGGTGTTTCCCTTGGAATCTGTTCCTGTTGAATCTTTATGTAATTCCTTCCCTTTCTTTTCCCTCTCGTAAAAGCACATCTTCTCCTCCTTATATGGCTCTAAACTTCAGACCGCTGCATATAGAAACGCATAAAAACAGACCTCCAAGGAGCTGATCAAGACTCAGATAGAGATTCTTGTTTCTGAAAATGGGTCAAATCCGTTTGTTATGGTTCTTCTTTCTTTGCTGGTTGGTTGTGGAGGCTTGGCTAAGGGTGTCTTAGGCCTGGCTTGCAACTGGGGATTGCAATCAACACACCCGCTGCCGCCTAACATAGTGGTCAAGCTCCTGAAAGACAATGGATTCAAGAAAGTGAAGCTGTTTGAAGCTGATCCCGGAGCACTAAAGGCCCTTGGAAGGTCTGGTATCGAGGTTATGGTTGGAATACCAAATGACATGTTGGCATCGCTTGCAAGTAGCGTCAGAAATGCTGAGGCTTGGGTGCAACAAAATGTTTCCAACTACATATCCAAGTACGGAACTGATATAAGGTAACTCAACTCTCACCTTTCCAACGTTAATTGGGCTAAACTTTGCTGTCGAAAACGTTCCATACCAAGTGTCCGAAAGCTTTTGACAGATTAGCTTTGAGTTCCAAAATTTTGAGTATTTTTAAGGTGCATTCGGATTTAAGAATTCCAAATAATATATAAGACATGCAATTTTAGGGAAGGTGCTAAGTATAAGATCCGACTGTTTTCATATGTTGCATTGATTTGTTTATTAAAGAACTCGATTGGGGGAAGCGAATCAGATTCACTTTGATAGTTTTAAGCAATTTAGCATAAAACAAAAGCTGCTAACAAGATCGGGCTTAAGTATGGTATTTTTATTTGGAATAAAAGCTAATATCCTTTCATTTAGAAAAAAAATGGGGTTTGGTGGATTCAATTAGATAAGATTTCTCTTCTTCTAACAAATACAATTATAATTGTTGATATAATGATATGATTGGTCCAACGTTTTTTCCATTAGTAAAGGATCGGACAATATTACAATATTCAGATTGTAATTGCCTTCGTTCACCTACATATAGAAGCTGAATTGATCTCTCTGGTATATGTGATTAATTTCCAGGCACGTTGCTGTAGCCAATGAACCTTTCCTTCATACCTACAAAGATATGTTCGTTCATACAACATTTCCAGCCCTCCAAAATATTCAAGCAGCTATTATAAAAGCTGGGCTAGGCAAACAGGTGAAGGTAACCATACCATTGAATGCAGATGTCTACCAGACTGACAGCGGCCTACCCTCTGGCGGCAATTTTCGACCTGATATCTATGACCTGATGATTAACATTATCAAATTCCTTCAAGACAACGGCGGTCCTCTCACCATCAACATCTACCCGTTTCTTAGTCTCCAATCTGATCCCAATTTCCCTAAAGAATATGCCTTCTTCAACAACACTGCTAGCCCCCTTGTGGACGGTTCCATCGTTTACACCAATGTTTACGATGCCAACTTTGACACCCTCATTTCAGCACTCGAAAAGAACGGCTTCGGACAAATGCCTGTCATCATTGGAGAAGTTGGCTGGCCAACTGATGGTGACCCCAGTGCGAACGTAAACAACGCCCGCAGGTTCAACCAAGCCCTTCTCAACCGTATAATTCAAGGCCAAGGCAGCCCAAAACGCCGAACCCCTCCTGAGGTTTACGTGTTTTCACTCGTTGATGAAGATAACAAGAGCGTTCAGCCTGGAAACTTTGAGAGGCATTGGGGTATTTTCAATTACGATGGAAGCATCAAATATCCACTGGATATGGGCAATGGAAGACCTATAGTCGCAGCCAAAGGCGTCAAGTATCTGGCCAGGCAATGGTGTGTATTGTCCCCTTCAGCAAGCATTTCAGACCCCAGTGTGGCACAAGGCATTAGCTATGCTTGTGAATACGCTGATTGCACAAGTCTTGGCTATGGATCCTCCTGTGGTAATCTGGATGTCAGAAACAATGCTTCTTATGCGTTCAATATGTATTATCAGACCATGAATCAAAGGAAAGATTCATGCTCTTTTAATAACTTATCTGTCGTTACCACCGTGGATCCATCTCAAGCACCTTGTCGTTTCGAGATCATGATCGACATTGGGAAACATGAATTGGCTCCCTCCCATAACAAATCTTCGGCAGCAAGAATCCCAAGCCTCATTTCGGCTCTGATGCTGGTGTTGGCGCTTGTCATTTGTGGTGTTTATTGATTTAGTTCGTCATTGCCATTCAACCAGGCACTGATCATTTCTTTGCTTAGCTGAGTTTAAATTTTTCCTAGACCACATGGATTTAACTCATTTTACACTGTAAAATAACCATTTATTCTATGAAATTATTGTTGAAATTTGATTACTTTCAAATTGACCTCTTCCAAATCTCAAACTTTGGGCCTACTATAATAGTTCTTCCGCTTCTTTAGAAACAATAAGCTCTACCGCTCTTAATAAATAAATGAAATAGCCCAACTCAACTCCCAATGTTTAACATGTTCTAGCCATCAGATTAGGCAATCAGCTTGCTTAAGCTTCATTTCGATCGGCTGAATGTTTAACATATTGACGGCCCGACCTGAAAAATGTAAATCCCAAACCAATCTTCAGTCCCGGAGTGCCCCCAGGTATGACGCCATGGGACTGCCACTATACTTGAACTGGGCTCCCTTCATCTCAAACTAGTTTACTGCTATAGACCCATCAAAAGACGCTTTGAACTGCCAAAGTTGGGTTTTGTCCCTGTACAAATACGAGTCAATCAAACCAAAGAAGTGTCTTTATAATCATCACATTGGAGGCGTAGCGGCGGTGCCAATTGCCTATCGGGATCTGTGCTCACCGCACTTATTTTCTTCTTTCTTTTTTGGTGAATATAAATAAGCAAAGCACGCCACGTTTTTCATTTTTAAAGCGTAGTTTATCAGCAACTTTCCTGTCAACTGTAATTGCTGATAATAAAACTAACGAAAAAATTGATCGTTCCACTTTTTTCGTGCAATTAAAATTCCCATTCCCCGAAAAGAAATTTCTAATTTTTTAAAGATGTTTCTTGTAAATTATTTATATTTTCAAATATTTTAATTCAAAATTTATTATTTAATATGATAATTAAATTTTATAAATATTTGATTAAAATTTTTAATTATTAATCACATCCAAATATCTCAAACATTCATAGTTAAAACTCATAGGTTTTAAATATTCAATTATAATAAATTTAAAATCAAATCTTATATAAATAATAAATAATAAATTAAAATTAATTCATAAAAAATAAAATTTAAAATAATTAAATTTTTTTGATAAATATTACACTATTTCTAAAAAATTTATAAACCAACAAACAATATATACAATTAAAATTTATTAAATACAATCTTATTTGAGCAGTAATAAGTTTAAAATCACTATATAAACTTATGGATGAAAAATAATTTTTTTATTTAAATTCATTTTACCTTCGATATCTTAATCTTATTTAATCAGATTAATTAACATAAGATATTCGAATTAAGTAATTTGAATTTTACATTTTTTCTTTCGGTCCCAAAAATTTTCCCTCCCCTAAACCATTAATTAACTAGCAGTAAACCTTGTAATTAGCACATGAAACAATCCTCGTTCTCGACTAATTAAGATTACCACTGCCGACCCTGTGGTCCTGTCCTCTTCCGCATATTCTTTCAGGACCATTTTGCTATTGTCCCGGAGATTTTCTCCTTTTCCACTAAAATTCAAGAAGGCTAAAACAAGAGGAAGAAACGTGAGTTCCAAATCACAAATTTGCTGTATTCTATTCTTAAATGAAATCCCTTAAATTTCTCCTTCTAATTTGTAGGTATCCTTCAAAATTTCCTTTAATTTCAAACCATTTATAACATAAATATCCTATTATTATATTCCTTTCTTTTTTTTTTGTTCCATTATAGGTCTGTTTGCCGCGCAGCCTCTCCACTCTTTTTCTCCGTTAACCCCCCAAATCAAAATCAACTTTGTTAGGGTTTCCATTTTTTTATTAATTAATCAATTTATCTAACCCGATTTCTTTTTTTTTTGAAATCTTTGTGCTGCGAGATCATCATAAGTTCGTTGGCTTAATCTACTCTTTTACTTATCATTTTATTTTTCTGAGACGTATTTTTTTGGGGGGAAAGCTGGAATGTGAAAAGCTTCGTTATGTTAAAGAAGCAAAGCAGCGGTGTTCGTTTCTTGTTCAATCAAATCTCTAGTTTTAACCGTGACGGAAAAGTTCAGTTCATGGCGATTTTAGCACGTAACGATTTGTTTTCGAAGCAACTCCACACGTTGCCGAACGACCAACGCCGTTGCTTCCAGTTGCTCAGCAAATTTGATTCCCTTGAAAATCACAATGTCGGCGGTGGTTTCAAGTTTAACAGACCCGCCGCTGGCTTCAATTTGACCCTTAAAAGTTGTTTCCAGGATTCGCCTGGAACCTGGGATCAGAAGGCACGCGCCTTTGCTCCCCAGTTGGCGCGTCATTTAGAAATTATTAGCCATAATGAACCACCCAAAATGGCGAAATCGACGACTGATACTGGTGGCGCGTGTCAAAGAGGGAAGCCTCTTGACTTTAATGACAAACCTTTGCCTGAAAAGATTGCGGTTGCAGTCGATGTCGACGAAGGTACAATATCTTTTCCTGCAAATTCTTTGCCTTCTTTTTTGTCTCTGGCAAATTTTAGGTATTTTTGTAAGGATTTTTTCCCTGTTTTCTGGTATAAGCAGTACTAGGAAACTTTGTGTCGGCTTTGAACAGATTTATAGCGGATCGTTATTCGTTGAATCATTCAGTTTCAGAGTACCATGTTTACGAGTTTTTCAAGGTAAGCTTTTTTTCTTTTTTCATAAAATTTTTCAAATTTTCTGTTGCGAAGAGCAATGGAAATCAGCTAGTATAATTGCCATTTTTTGTTGGTATAAGGCAATCAGTGTTGAATTTTGATTAAGTGGAATTAAAGACGATCAGCACTTCTTTTGCTAAGAGAGAAAGAAGGATTAAAGAAAAAATAGCTCTGCCCTGAGGACGGAAAGGCTGGCAAGGTCTCCAGGATGAATAAAAAGAAGCATTCTAGAGCATCTAGGAAAAACTACGGGAGCAAAAGGCTCATTTTTCTTCCATGAAGATCTTTGATATGATTGTTCTTAGCTTTTAGCTATGATTTTATGGGTTTGTAGTCACCATTTTGCATGTGAATCGATTCTAAGTAAAAGCTTCTACCCATTTGCACTGCAAGTTATGTGGGTAATGAAGGTGCTTCCATGTTCAAATTACCATTTTTTTGAAATGCTTGTTCAAATTACACTAACATACTTGATAGTTTAATCTGTGGGTTGGGGTCTTGACTCTTTAGCAGTTTTACTTATGTTGTTTGTGTAATTTTTTGCTTTCTATAGTCAACTTTTGTGCGGAAGTTGTTTGCGTTTCTTTGTATGTATTTTAATGCATCTTCTATTCTTGTTACAGATATGGAACTGTTCTCGTGATGAAGGTATTACTAGACAGACTGATTGATTCCTTGGTGGATAATTTATTAAATTCATGTGACAAAAAGCATTCAGTAATATGCTACTACTACTGTACTAAAATTCATCAAATTCTTTGAATAAAGTGTGCTAAAATTTGGTTGTTTCTTCTGGATGAAAGGTAAAGGTTCATTTGCCTTCAGTGGCTGCATAAAAGGTTGTCAACCTAGGTGGAGTCTTATGTGGGTTTGTTCTTTAATATTCCAATTTAAGTAAATATACTACGTGGATCTAGATAAATCAATAATAGAAAGTGATTTAAGGATCATTGAAACAATGGAAAAGATATCAGATTTAATTCTAATGTGTATCAATTGTAAATATTTGCACAAACTTATGAAGCGACCTCTTAATGTTTTTTTTTGGTTGCAAATGCTTTGATTGTTCCCTTAAAATAGAGTTCCAAATCTATCATGATATCATTTTTAGCATTTTGAGTTTCTTGCTTTGAGTTTGCTTTGGCCAAAGATTACTTCTGAACATACTCTGTGTTACTTGTCTTGACAGCTGATATCCGTGTCCATGAGTTCTTCAAGACACCATATTTCAAGAAAGGTATCCACCCTATCCCAGGTGCTCAGGCGGCACTTCATAAGTTATCAAGACTTTGTAACCTGTCAGTTGTAACGTATGTATGCTTACTGTTCTTCCTTAATAATGTCTGTACTTCTGACTGGTGCACTAAGCAGTCTTCCATATATTTATGAGTAGGTCTCGGCAGAATGTGATTAAGGAGCATACAATTGAGTGGTTAGAGAAGCACTTTCCTGGACTTTTTCAGGAGATTCACTTTGGCAACCATTTTGCTCTTGATGGGGAGTCTAGACCTAAGTCAGAAATATGTCGGTATGCCCATAAGCCCTCAGGCCTTTACATTGCTGTGTGATGCTTAATATTTTACTTTCTTTTTCATTTATTAATCCCTTTTAATAATTTCAAGTGCAATTATTTCTTTATTTTTATGATGCAAGTATATCAGCTTCTATTTGAGATAATTGCCTTGATGAGCTTATTCATTCCTTGGAGAAATTTACTGCAGACAAATTTTTCTTGATGAGTTGTTTCTCTTGCAGGCTGTTAGGAGCCAAGATTCTGATTGATGATAACCCAAGATATGCTGTTGAGTGTGCTCAAGTTGGAATCAGAGTTCTGCTTTTTGATTATGAGAACTCATATCCTTGGTCTAAAACAGAGTCAATTGATCAACATCCTTTGGTGACTAGAGTACATAATTGGGAAGAAGTGGAGCAACAAATAGTGTCTTGGATTCTTAGTTCTTCTGCTCTGTAAGATGGACTCTATAGAGACTCCCACTTGATATACCTTAAACATTTGATAGTGCCGAAAAATTCAGGCTTATTATTGATTTGGATGAATCTACTACAAGGAGACCAGCCAAATTAGGGTCATGGGGTCTGCATTGACTTTGCGGACAAAGCTGGAAAAAATATGGATGAAATAATGCTTTTCATTTTTTGCATCTTGATTTGCACGATGCAGGAAAAGCAGTTGTCAAATCGGTAAAACATCAATGTAATTAGAAGTTCATTACCTCTGGAGGTTACTTCATGATTGTAATCCAAGAAACAACAGTTTGTTTTTAGCAATGCTTTATCCTGTCCAGTTTGAGTCAGGGAGAAAGCCAAATTAGGCAAAGGAGTTGCAGATTTTTCACTAGCACAAGTATTTGCAATGGCCAACCTGTTGTATCTAGTGCTCTGCATTGGTTGTACTCGATCCTGATAATTTCAAGTTTAATCAGGCCAGAATTCTGATGTAGGAGAAGCATGAATGGACATGCATATATTAAGGTTGGAGTTGAAGTTGTCATTGACATTGCTTTCAGTTGGAATGCTGATTGAAATAGTCATTAACAGTAGTTTAACTTAAAGCTAATCTTTACCTAAATAACTTTACATGGCAAAGAAATTGGAATATAACTTTACATGGTATGCGAGTAATGCTGATGCACTTCCTTCAATAAGAAATAATATAGTATCTGAGAAGATTAAAATGGTTTTTTATTTATTGAATTTAAATAAAGAAATTGTACACATTTTATTTACATGTTTTAAAATAATTGAAAAGTCCTGAGGTTGGTATCATCCGGTCCTCCTCTCGTGGGTCTGCAAGGAGACCTCAACGGAATATACTCGAACTAACCATGTAGTTGCAATTACATGATAATCATCTTCTCCTGATTTGAAATTTTCTCAGGATTTGTACACTAGAATATATAAAGGATATCTTGAACAATGGTGGTCACTCGGTTTTCTCCGTCAATTTGATGCCATAGGCTTGAAGGATATCCAAAGCTGCCACAACCAATATAATTAATATATCAAGCAAAAGCAATGAACCAAAGCAAGAAACTATATGCATTTATGGTAAAAGCTTCAATCTGTCAAAGAATGGGGCTAATGAAAACTTAGAAGGTCGCATCATAAATTTAAAGCCTATGAATTTCGATATTTAAATGAGTCTACAATTACCTGGTACGTAAACTTCAGGTTCGATAGGCCTCAACAAACCTCGTGTTGTGATCTTGTTTACAAGTAAGAGCTGAAACCATGAAAATATGAAGAATTAGGTTCAAAGCTTTTTCAATCATGGGAATTGGGAGTAGGATAAGATA